CGGTCCCCGACAGCTGCCCCCCCCCCCCCCCGGTTTGGGCTGTCTTGGTGATTTCCTTCTCCGAGGAGGGGGGTGGTGGTTCCCCTTTGGAGTTCATTGATCAGACTTTCCACTTCCTTTTCTGCCTGTTTTCGGCCTGTGTGGTTTAATCTTGGCTCCACATTGCTCACTGTGGTGTAAACCACTTAGGTGAAGGGCGGAGAGCTGTGCAAAAGGGTAAGGGGCCCAAAATATAGTGGAGATTTTTTTTGTTCCGTTGTTTTCTTTAAGCACTTTCACAATCTTTTGCACCATTTAATACAGGGGTGTCAAACATGCAGTCCGGGGGCCGGATTAGGCCCCCAGAGGGCTTCTATCAAGCCCGCAGTGGAACTGGCTGTCTTCTGCTTCTTCTTCCAGTTCTGCTGCTACTGCATCATTGTAGGTTTGCAGCTTACAGGTACACACCTGAGCAGCATACTCAAGATTGCAACAGCACAGACAATTTGATGCAGTAACACAGAGCAAGAGGTGTCAGTTATCAGACATTGTTAAATAAACAAAATATTGCAAGAGTGCTGATGGTGTAAGCATGTTTTTATTTTAAGTTAAAAAAAACCCTTTGTGTTTGTGTCCTTTATAAAGTTTATATCTCCGCTACCTGGCATTATGTTTTATGATACACATGGCTCGGCCCAACAAGTTCTCATTTATGTCAGCTCCGGCCCTCATAATAAATGAGTTCGACACCCCTGATTTCATATGTCACGTTAATACTTATGCTTTGCTTCAGTTCTGTTTTTAGACTTCTAGTTGGTTCTAGAACCCTAACCCTATTGCACTGTTCAGTGAATGTCCCTTCCTGAAGATCGTATTGACTCACTCTGTTGCAATCTGCCCTCAGTCCAAGTGAGAAAGGCGGACTATAAATAAATAAATATCCGAACAGTTAAATGGGTGTGTGTGTCAATCTATATATCTAATAGCCAAGTTGGCCCCTCCATGCGGATATCTAAATCCGCACATCGGGGGCACTTGGGGGCAGAGAGATTTTCCTGCACACTTGGAGCAGTCCCCAGGTGTGCAGAAAAATCTAAAAAGTTGAAAAAAGTATACGGGGTATTTAAATCCCCCCCAAAGTAAAAGAGCATCCCCTGCGCATGCGCAGAGAACGCCCTGGCAACTGTCTCGCCGGGGCAGGATGGGGCAGGAGATGGCTTGGCGAGCCGGCGGCTGTGAGCCACTCAGGCCTTGCCGCCGCTTGGGGGGGGGG